CGGCGCAAATCGGCCATCCGGCTCACGGCCGCGGCCTTCATCTTGGCCGTCGCCGGCATCCTCGCGGTGAATTTCATGTGCGTCGAGAGTCATCTTCATATATCTGTTTATTAAGCAACCCCTCCTAACGCGAACGCCAGGCGGACGGGTGACGTGCACTCTTGCGATTATGTGCAGTCTGGTTTCCGATGCCAGACGGCTATATCTCACTCCTGGGGCCAGTATTCGCCATTTTATTCAGTGCCATCTGATATCCCAAATGATGTCCCAGAGGGCTGTGAGGTGACCTTTGCGCAAATACTATCGCGTCATGGGGCTCGCGATCCCACGCTAGGCAAGAGCCTGTCGTACGCGGAGCTCGTCGATCGCATCCATCGTGATGTGACGGAATACGGGAAACACTACGACTTCATCAAGGACTACAAGTACGCGCTCGGCGCCGACCAGCTCACGGTATTCGGCCAGCAAGAGCTTGTCAACTCGGGCATCAAGTTCTACAGGCGCTACGAGAAGCTGGCGAGGGAGGCCTCGCCCTTTGTCAGGACCGCCGGTCAGCAACGAGTGGTTGACTCAGCGGTGAACTGGACGCAGGGCTTCCACGCGGCGCGCTTGGCTGACGAGAAGGCCGAATCGCCGGATGCCTATCCCTACAAGATGGTCATAATCCCCGAAGAGGAAGGGTTCAACAACACGCTCAGCCCCATGACCTGCACCGCTTTCAGGGAGGGCCCGGATACTGGGGGCGCAGCTCAGGCGATCTGGGTCGACACGTTCGCGCCAGGCATTGCGGAGCGAGTCAACCGAAACCTAGCCGGGGCTAACCTATCAAATTCTGACATCATTCATCTGATGGATCTATGCCCCTTTGAGACAGTTGCGAACACGGACGGGCACCTATCCCCCTTTTGCGGTCTGTTCAACGAGGATGACTGGCATGGCTTCGACTACTACCAATCCCTCGGGAAGTGGTACGGCTACGCCAACGGCAGTCCGATGGGGCCGACGCAGGGCGTCGGCTTCGTCAACGAGCTGATCGCCAGGCTGACGGGCCAGCCGGTCGTCGACGAAACCAGCACGAACGCGACGCTGGACGGCTCCCGGGAGAGCTTCCCCCTGGACAGCGTGCTCTACGCCGACTTCAGCCACGACAACGACATGTCGGGCGTGTTCGGGGCGCTGGGCCTCTACAACGCCACCGCGCCCCTCTCGAACACGACCAAGGCCAGTCCGCGGGAGAGCGGGGGCTACGCGGCCAGCTGGACCGTGCCCTTCGCGGCGAGGATGTACGTGGAGAAGCTGCGGTGCAGTGGCAGCGAGGAGGAGTTCGTGCGGGTGCTCGTCAACGACAGGGTGATCCCTTTACAGAACTGTGGCGTCGACGCGCTGGGCCGCTGCACGGTGAGCAAATACGTAGACAGCCTGAGCTTCGCTAGACAAGGGGGCCATTGGGACAGGTGTTACGAATAGACGACGTCTGGGTGCATTCATTACGTACGTCCCGGCTATGTAGGTTCCAAACTTAGATGGCGTGTGTGTGTGGGTGAGCTGCTTAGCACGCAAGCAGCATAGACACAGATAGAAAGCCCATTAGACAGAAGCACTCCGGCCGTGGCGAATCGGAAAATGATTTGCAGTAGTCTCTCCAAGAAACGAACCGTCCCAATGAAGATTTTGGGTCCCCAGCTTTCAGCTCCCCGTCCGGCCCACGGGGGGTGTTCGACTCTTTCCTTGAGCGAGCCCACTTGGCACATGCAAGATGATGATGGGTACGGCATATCGAAGCTAGCCCGGGTCCATCCCCGGCCTCATACGACGGACCGGTCTTGGCAACATCCCAAGTCGGGAAACACGGTCACGAGGCAGATTTCCATCGACAGTTCTTCTCCTTTGCTGGTGAGACATACATACATACGGAGAGAGGTTGACACTTATGCGCGGCGAACCGGTAGCACTGATAGGTCGGCGGGGTGAGACATTTGGAGGCGACGTTGAGGCTTGGGCTTGTTTTATGCATGCAAGGAATTTCGACTCTACGTACGCTTCTGATTCGGGTTACCTAATAGGATCCCGAGTGCCGATGTACAAGAGTTGTACAAGCCACCTACAACTACAAGTTACAAGTAGTAAAGTCTTGTACCTTATTCCTGGTACGCTATTGCCTCTACAGATCCACGGTCAATAGGGTATCACATCACTCGGGACAAGTGGAGGCCGGTGTCGTGCATTGGTAGGACCCCGGTGGCCCGATGCTGCACTAAATTTAGCGATTCAGTGGAGTGCCCCTGCTACGATAGTGCCTTACACGGGGCTAGGAAGCACCTATCTAGGTAGGTACTCGTAGGTAGGTAGCCTTGGCGTTCGGAATCCAATTGAAAGCAAGGGAAGCCCCCGGCATAGCAACCAGAGAGGTAAGCTTAGTAGGGTCCCAAGACACTTTGTCCCCGTCCTTCCACGACGGACGGAACCAAACCAACAGCACCGATGCATGAACGACCATGATCGCTGCTCTGCCATTACGCCCGACGACCTGATCACCGCCCAACACCCCCCCTCCCCCCTACCGTCGCGTCGTGCCATTATTACGACGCCCCCTTCCATCCAACCCCAGCTGTGGGCAAGTGAGCGAGCGAAGTGGTGCAGTCAGTCCGGAGCCCTCCACCACTCCCCATCCCGCGGCACGAGACGACACCGAATACTGCGCGCTCGCCGTTCGCCCCGTGCATCCCACCCGAAGATGGCCGTCAGTGCTGTGGGCACCTTTTTCATCATCGTCGTCGTGTTCCTGGTCTTTGCTGCCATTGGCTGGGTCGTCTTCACGCAGCTGCGCGCTCGACGCTTGGGGGTACGTTTGTCTCTCTTGTCTTATATCTCGCACATCGTGCTTGTCTCACCCTCAATGCGCATCACCGCGCCCGGCCACCACATTGTGCCACTCCCTCTTTGCTTTTCCCCGTCAGTAGCCAGTCCCAGTATCGACAGCGACACGGACTTGGATACCCTTCCCCTTGAATTCCGCCTTGCCGATCCCTGTTACCACCACCGGCAACATCCGGCAGTGGGAGCCCTTTGCTACACCCTTCAAGCTAACATGTGATTGCTCATTCCACAGCTTCCTTCCCCACCGCTGTCGTCCTACATCCCCTTTGTGCGCTCGTCAAACCAGTCGCCTTACGGACCCCCGCAGCCGAGGGGTGCCGGCATCCGCGGGTGGTTCAACGACCGCTTCCATTCGCTCAAGAACCCGCGCTCGGCCTCGGGCGCATACGAGCCCAGCGCCCCCGCCGGCCGCCGCGGCTTCGGGCCCCTCGACCCGGACGAGGCGTGGGACGCGCGCGTGGGCAACGAGACCTACGGCGTCGGCGGCGCCTACTACCCCGATGAGCAGGAGCTCGAGGACAGGGGGCACCACCACGGCCGCGGGGGCGGGGGTGGTGGTGGTCTGTACACGGGATCAGAGTACCAGATGAACCTGCCGGGCGACGGCGCCGAGGAGAACAGGGGACGCAGCCCTAACCCCCGCCCCAGCGCCCGCGACGCGCCCGTAGGCAGACCCTCTCCCGCCGCAGGGGACGCGGCGCGGCAGAACCCCTTCGACGACGCTGCGGCCGAGCCGAGTAATCTGAGCCTGAGAGGCGTCAGCCCGAGACCGATCGACACGCACAAGGCCGCTGCCACCCCTGCCGGCGCTGGCGCACCGACGCATGAGAGTCCCACCTCGGTCGCCGAGCGGAGATCTGTGTTCAGAGAAGACGTTTGATTTCCCTGACCGTCGCATACGGACGAACAGAGGGGACAGTTATGCCACTTTGCGCACTGGGGAATCGATAGATGGTCTCAGACTCGCTACTCTGATTCCTCTACTGCCAACCTCTGCAAGACACGGACGGTATGAGACGCGGATCTCATCCTCGTGATGGCATCGCAGATCAAAGGTGGACCGGGTGGGAAACAGGGTTCAGGTTTACCATTTATATGAACAAGCCAAGTGAGGGAGAAGAGAACGGGCGGTCTTCTCCTTGTTGTTGTTCTTCTGTTGTCGTTCTTGGTTATTTATGAGGCGGGTTCGGACATGGCATGTCGGTAGGGCGCGGGGGGAGGACGGCGTTTTTGGCTGGCGTCGGGGGGTGGGCAAACTCATAACCTATGGAATAAGAACGGTATGGTTTTGGGGGGCTCTCGCGGTATAAAAAGAAGCAGGCGTATTGAATATTGATACTTTTTTATTTTTTTCAGACTCTTTTGTCCTGAGTTTTTTTTGCTTTCGTACGTGTTGCAGACTGGTTTCTTCTATCTGTTGGATAGTGTCTTTTTTTGGTCGAGGGGTTTGGCTTAGATGAGGGTGTTGTACTTTGATTTCGTCATGGTTCGGCAACCTTGGAGTACATATATACAGCGTACAAGAAAAGATACAGCTGGAGTGCTTTTGTCATTTAACCATATTTTGTCTGCTCGTGGGTTCGTAGATATATGTAAGTACCTGAGATTTCTATCTTTACAAAGGACTTGACTTGGTATGCAAGCACCCCTCCGCATGTATGCTGACCAGAACAAGCCGTCCTCCATGCAACAACAATTTTCTGTCTCGAGCTCGAAGTTCCAAATCCCTACTTTTTACGCCGTTTGTTTTTGGTGGAAGTTGCCATTTCGTTCCGCCGGGGCCGCTGATGACGCACGTAAACACCTTGAATACCCAACCATATTGTCTACCAAACTAACTAATGTTAGGCAGTTTCATAGGCCTCTGTCACAAGTCGATGACTTGTTTTCTTTACTCAGTGGAAAGCCTATGCATGCTACCTCAACTCACAATGCTACTTTTTTTATTCCTCATGTTACTGTGGGAATATAAAAACACTGCGGAGGATTTTTTTTTATATGATAAAAAGTTCAAGCCTCAATTTAATCAAGACTGATTTGTGATCAATCCAGCAAAAGCATAAATAGAAAAGAAGGGAAAAATCAAAGTCGGGACATTTGTCACCTTCTCACTTATTCATATGCGACCTCGGCCGGATTCGAACCGACAATCTTTAGAGTACAAGTACTTTGGAATTTCGTTGTTTTGCATTTCGCCGAAATCTAACGCGATGCCATTTCGCCACGAGGCCGGTCGACCGCTAGCGGCGGTGGATGAGTTGAGCTGCCGTTAGCAGGGCCCTAGTTCGACGCGACTCCACGTTCCGAGGTTTGGTGGAGAGGGTCTGTTAGTGGGAGAATAATGTTTGGAGCCAATGGCTTGTTCGTATCGGATAGACGCGCGTTATAGCAGCGAGGTGGAGGGTTGTGCACATGGGAAAGAGTAATACTTCTGAAGCGGTCTTGTTTAGTACGAGGTGAGTCGAGACAAGCAGATAAAGTCGTCACCGTATTTACCTATAAGCATATGATCGATCACCTGCATTTCGATCAAGCCCGCCTGGTTTCGTGTTAGAGTTGTGTTTCGTGGAGACTCGCTGGGAACTAGATTGGTGATCGCTCGCTTAATCGAGAGAAGAATTGGTAACCCTTTAAGGATTCTTGATCCAATGTGCGTAATACCCTCGAGCCATCATGCTTAATTCCTAGTTGTAGTGACCATGACAGGGCCAGCACATCATGACACCTATGACAGATGTTGAATGCACATTGTAAACCTTTGTTAAATGATTTGTTTAACGGTATGATTCAAGGGCTCGTTTAGTAAAACTTGCGGTATAATAGTGTATTACATTAACTTTGAACCGTGAATACTTAGTAGAGCAGAGCAACATTATTCATAGCATCTAGAATAGAAAGAAAGGGGAGAGGGAATAGTCATGAAGGAAGAGAAAATTTCGATAAGATATGTAACACAGAAAGCTTTTAAGTTAACTATCGAAATGTATAAGGTATAATCTTTGTGTCACGGAACTATAGACTACCTAGGTAGCTACAGAGAAGCTAGAGATCACGGCACGTGACAGTGGGCACATAAGCCGACAGTGCAAACCCTGCCGGCACAGAGAGAACTTAGACCTTGTGCAATAATAATAAGTCAATACTGGAACCACCAGCAGTGTGAACTGTGACACTTTGCTTCTATTGCTGTTTGAGTAAAAGAAAATAAAAAATAAAGAGATTTGGAAATGTAAACATCTTAATAATTCCCAGTCTCACCGCCCCGCGGCCACTCAACATTCTTATATTGCAGTTAAATGATTCCCCGCTTCACCAAGTATTCCCCAACGAACCCTGATATAAAAGGAGCGCCCACGATCCAAAACTGGTCGTGGAACCAAGCCCCACAGCTCTCCGGCGAGTCCAGATCGACGTCGTAAATATAGTAAGCCAGGGCAAGACTGACACCGCCAACAGTGCCCAAGTAGTACAACGCCCCAAAACCCGCCCATAGCCCGCACAGGACCAGGAGTCCCACCTGGCCTGCGCTGAGCACGCTCGCGAGCAGCTTCGTGCTGTGTCGGAACTTCAGCGCCATGCCTTTGACGCCGGCCTTTGCGTCGTCCGCCACGTCCTGGTGCGCGTAGATGGTGTCGTAGGTGATGGTCCACAGGATGTTGGCCGCAAATAGCGCGAGCGTCGCCCTGCCGATGGTGGCCTCGGCCGGGGCGAACTCGCCGCCCCCCGCGCGGACGAGCGGCAGCGCGAAGGGCAGGGGCTCCATGCCGAGCGCGGCGACGCAGAAGAAGACGGCCCAGGCAAAGGGCACGCCCAGCACGACCTGCGGGTAGTACGTCACGCGCTTCATGAGCGCGTACACGCCGAAGAGCAGCACCATGATGGCGAAGTGCGGCAGGCAGGCCGCCGGGAACAGGGCGACGGTGGCCGGGCCGAGCAGCGCGACCTGCAGCGCCGTGAACAGGTGCGCCTGGGCCGTGGACACGGCGCCCCGCGCCACCGGGCGGTGCCGGCAGCGGGCCACCCGCCGGTCAAAGTCCTGGTCGACGGTGTCGTTCCACGCGCAGGCCGCGCCGCGCAGCACGACGTTGAAGGGGAGGAGGACCGCCGCGACGGACAATACCCAGCGCGGCTCCGGGGACGGCGAGGCGATGCAGGCGCTGTACGTGAGGCCGATGAGGTACGGGAAGTAGAAGGCGTAGAGCCCGCCGGGCCGGTCTATGCGCATCAGCTGGGCGTACGGGACCCATGAGTGCGGCAGTTTGGACAAGATCCCTGTCGTGGGATCTGAGTAAGCCGGAAGGTGCGGAAAGTAGTCGATGGTGGCGGGCTTTTTGCTTGGCTTGGCTTGAGACATGTTGGTGTGTGTACCATTACTGGCCACACTCACCTTCTCCCGTGAAGCGGTACGGGTTGAGGTGCGAGATGTAGACATCGTATGGCTGCTTCACTTGAAGGAAAGATGAGTTATCTTTACCCGGCGTAAGGTTGGATAGTTTCATACGAAAAGAGACACTTCTTCTCAAAGTAAGAGCCACATAAGGGCAAAGAAACATTAGCTACTGCTCAGTGTATTTAGAAAGAAGAGGAGTTGACCCTTCTTCTAAGCATGAGCTTCGGCCCATAGCCTTTATACCCTTGGCGAATTCACATGTTTAGACCTGCAGATAGATTTGCAGTCACCAGCGTATAGGAATACGGGCATCTTCAACCTGATAAGGGAGAGGGCAATGGCGTCTGTGTGACTTGCGTAATGCTAGCGCTTATAGCCACTGTATTCGGAAAGCAATAAGTGATCGTACTGACAAAGGAGGCTCTAACATAGAGGCTCCGCATTACGTACCAGCTATATTACCGAAAAGTCGGCCAAGCTGACACACACCTACATTATGCTACGGTGGCATTCCGGCTTATCAAGTAGCTGCCGTTGCAGGGAACCACTGCTGGTCACGGCACAACCTATGAGCACAGACATACGATATGCACAAGTGTATATCTTATAGATGGAGTTGCATCGTAGTGGAGGACACCTTGCAGAAGACTACATCTAAGTGGGTAATGGTTAACCATTTAGGTTTTGACGATCAGAGAGCCAGTGGTTGTTGGTCCGACGTAGCATTGCTCATTGTATTACTGGACCTTACATGGGGGTGGGTTTCTTAACCGAAGGCGGCAGGCCTGTTTTGCCTTATCTCAACCTGTTTAACGTTAGACATATGTCGTGCGAACATTGTTCGATTCAGGCACCGAAGTGTCCTGTGGAAAACGGGACAGAACTGAGAGAGTTTAAAATTATAGCTTCGTTTTCATTTTGGGCTCTGAAATCTTGATTTCTGATTAGATAAACCTCGAGATATATAGCAACCATGTTGGGCTTGCTGCTGCTATTGGTTTTGGTTTTGGTAGTTCGCATCTCATTGCTGCCGCCTCATCAACGATTTCGACTGTTTGGCAAAAAATATGTTTTACCCCCAGGACCCAAAGGTTCTCCCTTGCTCGGCTCATTGCTACCATGGCTGAAGGCGAGGAGTAGCGGCGCCCTTGTCCCATGGGTAGGTCACTTCTGTACATTGTTGCTGTCCCTCATCAGAGCTCGTTTGCTAACTGTCGTACAGCTGCTAGAACAGGCACAGTACGGTGAGATGACAACCTTAAGTATGGGAACTAGAACTTGGGTATTGCTCAATAGCGAGAGGGTTCTCAACGAGATAATCGCCAAGAGAGCCAGCGTTACACACGAGAGACCGGACTTCCCAATTGCTGGAGGTTTAGTGAGCAGAAACCACCGGCTCTTTCTGCAGAAGACAGAAAACTGGAGAGAAGGCCGACGACTCCTACATCAGCTAATGACCGGAGAAGGCTCGAAGTCCCATAGCAGTCTCACGGAGGAAGCAAGTCTGGGTTTACTACAAGCCTATCTAGATGAGCCAGACGCGTGGTACGCGCATAATTACCGCTTCCCAATGTCCGTCATCTGGCGGATTGTCAGCGGTACAACGCTACAGAAAACCATAGGGGAGCTGGATGACCTACAGAAAGTGACGTCGACTTTCTTGACTTCCATCAACACCAGCTTTGTGGACTTTTTCCCGCAGATCAGCGTGTTACCAAAATACTTACAGTTCTGGCGGACACACTGGGAAGCCATGGGAAGCTTCCATTACCGTATCTTCAAGCACTGGTGGTCTGAGCTGAAGGGTGCACAAATCCCCGAATCCTCGTTCGTCCGGCAGACAATGCTGGGGGAGTACGCCGGGACCGATGATCAGGCCATGTATATCACGCTCTTCATTCTCACCGCCGGATCCGATAACCCGCGCATGACACTCAACGCGTTCATAATGGCCACGGTAGCGTACCCAGAAGCCATCCGTCGCATACGACTGGAGCTAGACAACCGTGAGTGGTACCCCCGCATATGCTTTTCGCCTTCCGGCCCCTGCAGACTTCCAAGAGTCCAAGAGTTTTGGAGCCTCCGCTTTGGGGCCCGAGAAAATGGCCCGGAAGTTCCTTACGTCTCTAGCGTAGATCCGGCTCAAAAAAAAAAGCAAAGGACTGACATCAAGCGTTTTCTACGTAGTATGTGGCGCTGACGCTCATCGGCTGCCGGATCTGAACGATCTGACAGGCGCGCCTTATACCTCGGCAGTTGTGAAGGAGGTGCTGCGGTGGCGTCCCACCGTGCCCCTTATTCCCCAACGAGTGCTTGTCGAGGATCTAGACTTCGAAGGATTCACGTTCCCTAGGGGCACCGAGTTCCTCGTCAACAACATCTCCGTCTGCAGCCAGGGTTTTGACAACGCTGCAAAGTTTAAGCCCGAGCGATGGCTTGCAGGGGGAGGCGGGAAGGAGGCGGACGCCAAATCCCTCGATGCCGTCCAGCAGAACCTCTGGCAGTTCGCCTTCAATGCCGGCCGACGGTCCTGCGTAGGGTACAAGCTGGCCCAGAAAGAGATGTTCATCGCTTTTGCTCGGCTCGTCTACTGCTTTGACTTTTCTCCTGCAGGAGAATTCAACGATAAGGAGCTAAACGCTTTCGCTCCCGGCGAGCCGTTTCCCGTCAGGGCTACGGTGAGATCCCCTGCTCATGAGCAGCTAATCCGCAATGAGGCGATAAAGTGTGATATCTGGGGTGTCTGAGAGCTAGTGGATATGAATCGGGAAGGTCGTTGGGATACCAGGCCAAAGCGAGTTACGCCACCCGGAACAAGTAACCTCCCGTCACAGATAACGC